AGAAGCTGAGCTATATGAAGAAGTACTTGTTGAAAGTGAAAATAATCACCATCAGTACCACTACCTTCAGCACACTGTCAGTATCTCATCATCAAGAGGAATCTAAGATAACGAACAACATGAGAGAATAAAATGTTTCTAAGAAGAAGGCATAAGTTATTGAGGAAAAGTGGAAGTACATATGACGAAAAAATCTAAGCTAAGTATGAAATGTAATTAAGTATTAAATTCTTATTTCTAGTTGTCAAAGCAAAAGGGGCAACAGAACTTGAATTGTCTCATTAATGTAAACCCACCAAGTGATCTGAATAGACAAATGTATTCTTCCTATAAAAATCTGAAAGGACTACTCTATCCTGAGGGATGTCTGAAAGACCTTGGCCACTACTCTAATCATTCTGATGTCTATCTTCTACTGCAAGCTCTATAGAAATTACTCCAAAATGTGCATATGTCAGTTTCTCACTTAAAAATTGAACAGTAGTGGGGATGGGAATGTCCTGTAAATGAGCTTCAGGCATATTATCAAGGGGATAACACCCCTCGAACACTGCGTTATGGGGATTGATGTAGTACTCATCATGTTGACTAGAAATCAGCATCATTTAATGTCAGTGGATCCTGTAGCTCAGCAAAACTGTTGGAAAGTAAAAACTTTCAACTGCTCCATGATGGCCCTCTCAGTGTGCCCCAGGGACTGGAGTGGGTCTTTGCCATGTGTGGTATCAGTCCACAAAGACAGAAGTAGAGACAGTGGAAGAGTATTTAGGGACTTCATTACAATCTTGAATTGCTATGGCATTTTTATGGTGGTTTAACTAAGTATTGGTGTGGCACTGTGGGCTAATGTGCCAGACTGCAAAGCCGTATGAACTGCAAAGTCGGTGGTTCAAGCTCACCAGCTGCTCCTAGGAAACCCTATACAGGGTTGCTATGGGTCGGAACCGACTTGACGGCACTTAACAACAACAACCTAAGTATTGGTCCACAAGGTGGCCAAAAGTTTCAAATTGGGAGCAAAACCAGGCCCTTCATTGCCGATGGTGTGACTAGCACTGCCCAAGACTTAAGGTTCAAATCCATTTCCTCAGACTGGTCCTCACAGGCTCCATGAACCTCCACTTTTCAACTTACCGTTAAACTCAGCCATACCACATTCTCTCACTTGTCCTTCCAGCCCTTCACATATTGTTCCTCATCACTCAATGCCTTTCCTTTCTATTTCCAGTAAATCTTTATTCACCATTGAAGACTCAGTCGAGCTATCATTTCCTCTCAGAAGCCATCTTGATGTTTCTTTCTGTAAAACGTTGCTGTTGTTAAGTGCTGTCGAATCAGTTCCACCTCATAGCAACCCTGTATAGGGTTTCTGAGGAGCAGCTAGTGAGTTTGAACCTCCCAATTTACAGTTCAAACCGATCTTGCAGTTCAGCCATTACCCTGCAGCACTACACCAGGGCAGTACAGTTACCCTTCATTAGGTGTTGTAAGCACTTAGTTTATAAAAAGCTGCAGTGTCTGTATTCACTCGGCATCCTGGGGTGCTCACATGCACCCCACTGTATTAAAATTATTTGTTTGCATGACACTATTCCCCCTGGGGTGATGCTGTGGGATAAGCACTGGACTTCTACTAGTCATTCCTCGAAAACCCTATGCTGGATCTCTATGAGTTGGAACCCATTCGACAGCACTTAACAACAACATCCTCCTCTAGTCCATGACCCCCAGGGATGAAGGAAGTATGTTAGATTACCTCTGGACCCACAGAACCTGCTAACCCCATTGCCATAGAGTTCATTCTGACTCACATCAACACTATACGACAGAGTAGAGCTGCCGCCATGGGATTCCAGCACTCTGGTGTGGTACTGTAGGATCAGCACTGGTCTAGAAAGAAACACCAGGTCGACAGCTCAAACCCACCAGCTGTTTGGAAATCTTATACAAGGTCATTATGAGTCAGAACCAATTCAAGGGCACTTAACAACAACAATCTTTACAGAAGCAGACTGCAACATTTTTCCCTCTTGGAACAGCTGGTAGATTCAAACCACTGACCTTTTGGTTAACAGCTAAGTGCTTAACCACTGTGCCACCAGGGTTCCCAGGACTAGTAAACATAAGTTGATCAACACCATGAGTACCTGAAGTCCCATCTTATTAAACAAACCATGGTAAAATACCCTATTTTCTACATACCTGGTAGAAGTGTGGCCAGAAAGTACTGATGGCCAGTTCTGCTTTCACCCAGCCCTCGGTGACGACTCCAGACACATTCCAGACAGGGTTCCCCTGGGGTCCTCCATTCACCTTCACATAGACGTTCAAGGCCCCAGGGCTGGACCTGTCTCGGCTTGAGAAGTAGTAATGGAAGTCGATGCAGTGCGTGTCGTTCTCCTTCAGGGTGGGCAGGAGCAGGTGGGCCTTCTGCCCGGAGGCCCTGCCAGAGCTGTTCACCATCATGAAGGATCCTGGAGAGCGGTGAGGTAGGAAGCAGCGGCAAGGAGAGAGAAAGAAAGCCTTCTGAGAATAGGTTGCACCCACACACATGGTGGCCAGAGGTGTGGCCAGAGCACAATACACAAAGGAGGGCCTGGTTAACCCTGAGGCAGCCACATGTCCTGTGAGGTCCAGAGTTACCTTTTGTTATTGAAATAGATATCATAACTATGTGGTTTTAGATGCTTAAGGACAGGACTGGACTGGTAACCACAAGATCAACAGTTCAAACCCACCTGCCACTCTCAAAAACTCTATTTAGGGTCACTGAGTCAGAACCGACTTGACGGCACACAATAACAGCAACAACATGCATGGTGTATTTGTACAAAGTAGGCAACCTATGAGCATGCAAGAAAGCAGCCTTCCATTCAATATGAGGATCTAAAACCCTAGAAGCGCCACAAGGATGTATGGAAGAATGCTCAGGGATTCGATGTAGTGCAACCTCCACAAGGGAAATTAGGTGAGATAGAACCTCACAAAAACTCGGCTATTTCAGTGGGAGCAGATCTCTACAAGAGGGATAGGAAGTGCCCTTGTTCCAACATATTCTTACATTCAGTGCCAGGGAAAACAAAAACAAAAAATCAAAAAACTATTGCTATTGCATTGACTCCAACCCAAGGTGTCCCTGAACAGAACAAGGGAACACCGAATGATTTAAACTTAGAAAAGCTGTGTGCCAGGGGTATATTCTCTCACCATACTTAGTCAACCTGTGTGCTGAACCAATCATCTGAGAAGCTGAGCTATATGAAGAAGTACTTGTTGAAAGTGAAAAGGACTTAAAATACTTACTGATGAAGATCAAAGACTTTGGTAGGAGTTGCACCTTAACTTAAAGAAAACAAAAATCCTCACTACTGGACCAATAAATTATATCCATATAAATGGAGAAAAGATTGATGTCAAAGACTTTGTTTTGCTTGGATCAGCCATCAACACTCATGGAAGCAGCAACCAAGAAATCAAATGATGTTTTGCATTAGGCAAATCAGCTGCATAAGACCTCTGTAAAAGTGTTTAAGAGCAAAGATGTCAGTTTGAGGACTAACGTACGCCTGAGCCAAACCATGGTATTTTCAATAACCTTACATGCTTGTGAAAGTTGGATAGTGAATAAGGAAGACCATAAAAGAATTGATGCATTTGAGCTATGATGTTGGAAGAGAATATTAAAAGTACCATGGACTTCCCAAAGAACAAAACAATCTGTGTTGGAAGAATTACAGCCAGAATGCTCTTTGGAAGCCAGGATAGCCAGACTTTGTCTCTCATACTTCAGACATATTATCAAGAGGGACAAGTCCCTGGAGAAGGACATCATGTTTGCTACAGTGGAGGGTCAGAGAAAAAGAGGAAGCCTCCACCGAGATGGACTGGCACAGTGACAGCAGCAATTGGATCAAACGTAGCAATGATTGTGAGGTTGGTGCAGGCCTGGGCAGTGTTTTGTTCTGTTGTGCATAGGGTCACTATGAGTTGGTACCAACTCAATGGCACCTAAAAACAACAACAACAACAACAAGGTGACACCATGTGTGTCAGAGTAGAACTGCACTCCAAAGAGTTTTCAATGGTTGCAATCTTACAGAAGGAATCCCTGTGTGGTTTAAAGAGGCAAATGCTTATTTAGTAAGTAAAACGTTGATGATTCAAACTCATATCCAGACACCTAAGAAGACAGATCTAGTGATCTTTGGATAGGACACAACATAAAGAACCCTATGAATGCAATTCTACTCTGCAGAATATAGAGTTGCCAAGAATTGGGGTCAACGCTATGGTAAACTATTTTTTGGTTTGGGGAAAAGGGGATAGAAGGTGTTAATCTTATGGAAGTAGATTACCAGGACTTTCTTTGGCTTCACCATTGGATAGAACCACCAACCTTTTGGTTAGTTGTTATACTTGCCCTGGATTACTTAGACAAACAGAGATGGGATGCAATTTCAAAAACAGTGCTATGCTTACAATGTGCAGAAAGCATGACTATTATCACTAAGCATTAAGAAGACTGTCTTATAGTTGCTGTGACAGATTGAATGGTTGTTTCCTTTCTTCACCCTTCCCTGGTCCATTCCCTTTGTCACTGGTTTTGTAATTCCTCCCAGTAGAGGCAGAGGGAACGTCCACATCCCTTGACATTGGGCTCCACCATATGTCCTGCTTTTGACCCATGGGATGTTAACAGGCAAGTTTTAAACAGAGCCTTGATATGTGGCTGCCCAGCTGAGCTTGCACTTCTGCGACTTCCCTTGGGGCAAAGTGTACCAGGCAGTTGCTGCCCCTATCAGCTTCTGATCTAGAATAAACACACATGGAGAAGACCTAAGTTCAACCAATCAAGCCATGCCACCCCCACAGCTAGAAGCACAGCCAGACAAGCAAACCCATGAAGGTGAGAAGAGATGCTTATTGCTGTCTGCAGCTGAATTCCTCCAGGTTTGTTATATAACAGAACTGTGGCAAGAGCTAGTTGGCACAGTGGATCTAGAGGGTGCAACACTCATGAAAGAAACCACCAGGAGAAAGCACCTTTCTTGTTTAACATGCAAAGGACAAGCAGAGCTGGTACCAAATGTGATTGACTTCCCAGAGACAAAGTGAATATCCTTCCACTGCAGATGGCTCAACAGAGCCTGAACAAACTGAAGAAATATTTAAGGAATTTCATGATCAACTGGGAGGGCTAAATTCTGTCGCTTATAGTCTCACGATTCTATTGGGGGAGGGGGGTGGAGGAGCAGAATACATCCTAAAACACAAGTCTATAAACTCAGGTGATTTGGGGATAACTATTTTCACTTAGAAACCTACTGTGCTTTGAAATCTTATCTTCACCATAGAATTTGTCATTCAGAATGAAAACTTACAACTATCATCAACCAGGTTGAGCCACCTCATTAAGTACAATTTCCATAACAAGTTCCAAGTAATAAGTACTTGGCAATCTATACTGGGTTCTAGAGGGCCCAATCATCCACAGTTGATCCCTCCCCTCTAAGTTCTGAACACAATGAAGAATAGCCATAGAAGATAAATAAGATGAAAACTTCTGCATTGTCACTTATGAAGCTGGATTAGTGAAAGCAATTTACACTAGAGCAATTTACAAAGTAAAGTAGGCTTCTTGCATCTTCTCCCTTGGTCCAGCATGCACACCTGTTGGAGAACCATGAGCTTTCCTTCCTTACTCCACCCAGACCCCTAGGGTAAGAGCTGTCCTAGTGGGAAGGCCAGTTAGGGTCTTTGGGTGTGCTAGTCCCCCAAAGGAGCCAATATCAAGCAAGGCAACAAGAAGTATGAACCAACAGCTGCCAAATTGTTACCATCCAACCAATCAGAAAATTCACCCACCTCTTGGGCTAGGAGAGTCCTTAGGAGGTGTTGTGGTTGTTACGTGCTGTTGAATTGATTCCAACCCATAGTGACCCTGATTAGCATTTCCAAGGAGCAGCTGGTGAGCTTGAACCACCGATCTTACAGTTGAAACAACTTTGCAGTCTGACACATTAGCACAGAACCACACCAGAACTCTATATGCAGTTAAATGCTCTGATGCAAACTGAAAGGTTGGTAGTCTGCACCCACTCAGAATTGCCTCAGAGGAAAGCGCTGGCAATCTACTTCCAAAAGATTGTTGTTAAGTGCCATGCCATCAAGTCGGTTCTGAGGAGCGGCTGGTGAAATTTGAACCACCGACCTTGGAAAGTCTATGGAATGCAGTTCTACCCTACACATATGGGTTGTTATGAGTCAGAATTAACTCAATAGAAACTGGTTTGTATTCTTTCCCCACCCTCTTGAGCTAGGAGCTACTGTTAAGTGCAGCAGAGCAGATATCTTCCCCAGTGTTTACAAGAGAGTAAAGTTACCAGTTTATGACCTGGTTAGGTGCCACTGAGTTGGTAACAACCCATAGCAACTTAATGCACAAGAGAATGAAACACTGCCAGGTCATAAGCTGAACCTCATAATCATTGCTATGTTTGAGCCCATTGCTGCTGCCACTGTGCCAAGTAGCACAGGTTAAGCAGGGAAGCTCCCTCCCGGGCAAGTAATCTATAATCCTCATCATCTTCTAGTGAGACTAATAAGGAATCAGAACTTCAAACTGGTTTGACTTCTGCTGAGAACTTGCCTTTCCACACCAGACACACTGAATCTGACTCTGCAGAAGAATCACCTGGGGGTTTATTAAAATGTAGATTTGGATTCAGTATCTCTGGTAGAAAGGCAGGGGGTCAAATCAGTGATAATTCCTGTAAGTAACCACTGAAGGGGAAAAACCAAGGCTCAGAGAAGGCAAGACTACACCAGTATCCATACGCATTTCTGTCTGTGATCTTCCCCCCTACTTCCCTGCCCTGAGTTCCAGGAGTAATAGCCCTTAAGCTCCACAAGCTCCTATGGGATGGTCTTGTTTGCTGAGCTGTGGTACATCTCTGGGAGGTAGAGGCAAGCTGAGAAAAAAGCTACATCCAGATTCTATGATGCCTCCATGTACTGCTGTACTGTTGCCAATTCACACCAGGTGCTCATAACCCCTGGACTGCTTACAACCCACAGCAGACTGGGTCTTGAAGGCTTCCCTTCCACCAGCTCAGGTTCTCATCTCTTTTCATTCAATTTCCTCAACTAGAGCAATATGCTGAAGAGGTGGAATTTATCTTGCTCCACATACCTTCACACATGGCCGAATAACATCTGTCCATCCCTGCGAGTCTCACTGGTTCCATGACTTCTGGTAGTGAATGCCACCCTCTCCTGAAGCCAATGCTGCTTAAAGTGCCTGGTTCGCCATCAGCTCTCCATGTGACACAACTCACTACCTGATGAACAGACCTGGTTCCTTTTCATTCTGGGAATACTTACAGTCCTCAGTCTCCCTTCATAGCTTGATGCAGGTGTGCAACTGAGTCCTAACCAATGGGCTGTAAGAATGATGCATGCATTTCCTGGCGCG